TTAGTACAGATGGAGTTTCACCATGTTGGTGAGACTGATCTCGAACTTCTGACCCCAGGCGATCCATCTGCCTCAGCCTCCCAAAAGTGCTGGGATTATAGGCGTGGGTCACCATGACTGGTTTTTTTTTTTTTTTTTTTTTTTTTTTTGATACACGGACTTTTGGTCCCAACCCTAGAGCTTCTGATTCTGTAAATAAGGGCTGGGCCCGAGAATCTCCATTTGAATAAGTTCCTAGATGTTGCTGCTAGTCCCAAGGAAACAGTTTGAAGAAATTGCTTTAATCAAATCTTAAGGTTATTTGATGTTTTCTGCTGCCTTTTTCTTGTCACTGTAAATTTCCCTGCAGTAAACATAAGAATAAATGGAAAAGTTTTGGCTTTTCTGTTTCAAAGAAGATTGACTGATTTTTTACTTTATTCAGTGTCTTTCTAAGCTGTTAGTGATTTTACCTTAAGCATATTTAAGAATACTTCTTTTTAAAAGTGCATCAACCAATCCTCAAGTTGAATTTTCTACACTTCGTTCATGTACTATGTATGTTACTTAAATAACAGAAAGCCTTAGAAATTTTGGCTTAAACACTGGTAAAATTCAAAGATAAGTTTAAGTGCTGCTAGTTAACAAAGCAAATCCAGGAAGTTACTAGGCACAGAGTTTACTACTAAGTATCTCTCCAACCATTCTCCCCTTCTTCCTTAGTAGTAAAAGCCCTCATTTTAACTGAACAAATGGCCACTCAGAATATATTTTCCAGCTTTCACTTAGCTTTAAATACTTGTAGGAAACTATGTTTTAGTTAGTAGGAAGTAGCCAGAAATGGTAATATAGTTTGGATGTTTGTCCCCTCCAAATTTCACAATTAAATGTAATCCCTGATGTTGATGGGGGAGAGGCATTTGGATCACTGGGGCAGATCCTTTACGAATGGTTTAGCACCATCCCCTTGGTGATGACTGAGTTCTTTCTGTGAGTTCACAGGAGAACTGGTTGTTTAGAAGTGTATGTCACCTCCCCCATCTCACTCTTGCATCCATTCTCACCATGTGTAAGCCAGCTCCCCCTTTGCCTTCTGCCATGATTTTAAGCTTCCTGAGGCCTCACCAGAAGCCAAGCAGATGTTGGCACCATGCTTCCTGAATAGCCTGCAGAACAGTAAGTCAACTAAACCTCTCTTCTTTATAAATTTCTCGGTCTTGGGTATTCCTTTATAGTGATGCAAAAACAGACTAATACAGATGGGAAAAATGCAATTTCTACAAAATGTCCTTAAAGGAGAACAATGTGCTTTCTGTTTTTTTTTTTTTGAGACAGAGTCTCGCTCTGTCACCCAGGCTGGAGTACAGTGGCCGGATCTCAGCTCACTACAAGCTCTGTCTCCCAGGTTTATGCCATTCTCCTGCCTCAGCCTCCTGAGTAGCTGGGACTACAGGCGCCCGCCACCTCGCCCGGCTAGTTTTTTTGTATTTTTAGTAGAGACAGGGTTTCACCATGTTAGCCAGGATGGTCTCAATCTCCTGACCTCGTGATCCGCCCGTCTCGGCCTCCCAAAGTGCTGGGATTACAGGCTTGAGCCACCGCGCCCGGCCTACAATGTGCTTTCTTAACTTTGTTTTTCTGCTGGTGGGAATGTGATTATGATGGCTGGAAGTTGAGCAGCCATCATGGGTCACAGGTAGAGGTATCATAATGAGGATTGTTAGATATGAGTTCTAAATTTCTTTTCAAAGAATCAGTATGTCAGTATGTTCAATTCTTTGCCTTCTACTTTTAAACTTAACTTCATCGTAAAGCAACCTTTTTCAATTACCTGCTCCACCCTGATTCATTCCCATTACCTACTCCACCCTGACTCATTCCGATTACCTGCTCTGTCATAACCATTTTTCCCGCCAAACCACTCACCCTGTCAGTCTCTTTAAATTAGCCAGTCAGAATTAGTTTAGCCTGTGTGGTCTAACCCTAGCTAACAGGGGAACGACACAGCAGCAGGGGCCACATCCGTCAGGGATAGAACCCCTTCCCTTCCCTTGTCCAAGTGTGTGCTCACCGTTATTCCATCTGTAAGGGTGCACCCTTCTATGGAAGTAACTTGGCTTGCTGAGAATTAAAAAGAAAATTCTATATTTGAGTGCTGTTTCTTTCGTGGCAACGAAACTTTATTTATAACAGGATGGTGGAGCAACAGACTAGATGAAGCCTGGATATCTGATACAATGGCAACCCAACTCCTGGACTATATCCAAACTGCTGTTATATGAGAAAAACAGATTTCTATCTTCACCTCTTGTTATTTTGAACTTGATACTACTTGTAGCTGAACCTAATTTGAACTGATAGAAGCAGTCATACAGAAGTTACAGTTGTGCAGAATGGAACTTCACTGTCTGTCATTTCAGCACTTTGGGAGGCCAAGGTGGGAGGATCCCTTGAGCCTAGGAGTTGGAGACCAGCCTGGGGAACACAGCAAGACCATGTCGCTATAATTAAACAACAAAACAACAAACAACAACAACAACAACACAGGCACACACAAACACCAAGGTTTGCTGAGGGAAAAATGAGGCCTTAAATCCAGCCTGCCCTCTCCTTTCCAAGCTTTGCACTGTGATGTGTGCTCCAGGAGGCTGACATACCCTAATAGCTCTGCAGAAGAGTGCATTTTTATTTAGAATCTAGGCTCTGTGGCAACATTTTTCAAAATATCCTTTCCATTCTCCTTGCCCAAGACCATGGGAACCCATCTGTTGCATCAGCATGACCTGGATGTGAGACCTGGAGTCAAAGGGGATCATTTTGGAGCTTTAAAATTTGACTGCCCTTTGCATGGGCCCCGTAACCCCTTTGTTTTGGCCAATTTCTCCCATTTGGAATGGCTGTATTTACCCATTATCTGTATCCCCATTGTATCTAGGAAGTAGCTGGCTTGCTTTTGATTTTACAGGCTCATAGGCAAAAGGGACTTGCCTTGTCTCAGATGAGACTTTGGACTGTAGACTTTTGGGTTAATGCTGAAATGAGTTAAGACTTTGGGGTACTGTTGGGAAGGCATGATTGGTTTTGAAATGTGAGGAAATGAGATTTGGAGGGGCCAGGGCAGAATGATATAGTTTGGCTATGTCCTCACCCAAATCTCAACTTGAATTTATCTCCCAGAATTCCCACGTGTTGTGGGAAGGACCCAGGGGGAGGTAATTGAAGCATGGGGGCCGGTATTTCCCGTGCTAGTATCATTATAGTGAATTAGTCTCATGAGATCTGACGGGTTTATCGGGGTTTCCTGCTTTTGCTTTTTCCTCATTTTCTCCTGCTATCCCCCATGTAAGAAGTGCCTTTTGCCTCCTGCCATGATTCTGAGGCCTCCCCAGCCATGTGGAACTTTTAAGTCCAATTAAACCTCTTTTTCTTGTCAGTCTTGGGTATGTCTTTACCAGCAGCATGAAAACGGACTAATACACTCCTGGAGGCATTGGAGATGGTTTTTAGGTAGTCCCCAGATGTACTTCAAAAGTCTGTTAATATTAAATTAAGTAGGTTTATATTTGAGGTTAGTTAGCACTACCAGCAAGTTCAGACCTCATTGCTAGGAAGAAAAGCCATAAAGGAAGAAGTTTGTTGAGCAGAAATGAAAGAGAATAGAAGCTCATAATATTATGTCATTAGCCAGTATTATATGGTAGTTATTAGAGTGGGAACTTGGGAGTCAAACTGCCTGAGTTCAAAACCTGGCTCTCATAGTGACTGGCTGTTATTCGTGGCATGTTTCCTAACCTCACTGTGTCAGTTTTTGCAATGGCACTTCTGCAAGGATGCTGTGGGAATTAACATGACATATAATGTGTTCTCAATAAATGTAAGCGATTACTATTTCTGGGAATCTTTTAGCAAAGGAACAATTCACTACCTGCATATAGCCACAGTTTGTTGAAAGCTTACTTGTGTGTCAGGAACTGTACACAAAGGACCTAATTTTACTTACGAGGAAGCCAAGGCTTAGAAAGTTTCAGGCCAGGCAGAGTGGCTCACGCCTGTAATTCCAGCACTTTGGGAGGCCAAGGCGGGCGGATCACGAGGTCAGGAGATCGAGACCATCCTGGCTAACATGGTGAAACTCCATTTCTACTAAAAATACAAAAAAATTAGCTGGGGTGGTGGCCTGCGCCTGTAGTCCCGGCTGCTGGGGAGGCTGAGGCAGGAGAATAGCGTGAACCTGGGAGGCAGAGCTTGCAGTGAGCCGAGATCACGCCACTGTACTCCAGCCTGGGTGACATAGCAAGACTCCATCTCAAAAAACAAACAAACAAACAAAGTTTCAGTGCCTTTACCAAGGTTATAACACTAATTCTTGCTCCACTAGAATTCAAACTCGAATTGATTGGGTTCCAAAGCCATGATACTAAGGATCAAAGACAAGGCTTTCAAGATTTCATAAGCCTCCTCTTGTATATTCTCTCTCAAGTTCCTGGTTCACAGCATGTACCAGCAAAGTCATTAAAACTAAAACGGTGTTTGGGAGTGAAGGATGTGAGACATTGAGAGCAACAGCAGAAAGGGTTGGGGGAGTCTTGGGAAGTGCAAGGGTGCTCAGGTTGGGACCTGTGGCAATGAATGGGAGGGCCAGGGAAACTGACCAGAACTCAAAAATGTCTCTTGGTGATTCACAAGAAAAGTCGCCTCTCAAGTTTTTCTATTATTCAGTGCTTCTAAGATACTGTTGCACTGTAAACTACAAAATTAATCTTATGATTCTACAATTATATTTTCTAAATGATCACTTATTTGATGGTTTTGAAGTACAGAAAGTATTTGGTCATTTAAATTATTTCCTTCCACGGAGTCTGTATCACTGAAAGACAAGCAATGTTTGCCTTTATTGTAGATATTTCAATGAAAATGTCAACATGTTGCAAATTGGCATCCTTTGGGTTTGCCAATATGTGGAAAAAAACTTTTTCAATGGAAATTTCCCTCTTTTTAGGGTCGAAAAGACGCTCTGCAACTAAAGTATCCCAGGCAACTTTATTCATTCAAAAAAATCAGAGCGGAGTCAAAAGCACAAATCCATGAATTGGGCGGCGAAGTCTGACTCCAGAGATAACGGCTGAACCGGGTTTGGAGAGACTGAACCCGCGCCGGTGCTCCTCCCGTTTGCTTGGACATGTTTGAGTACCACAGCTCTAACCCGCCACTTCAGCTGCACTGGCGGGTTTGTGGGGACGCAGCAACTCCTTCCCGAGGGCAGCTGAGTCAGCACCCGTGCCCGCGGCTTTGGGCGGCCGCTGGAGGTTCCTGTTAGGCCCGGCCCGCTCACCGGGATCTTCCCTGCCTCCGTCCAGTCAGCCTCCAGGAGGGCGCCGCCGGCCGCCGTGACTTAAGCAAGGCACTACTATCTCCATCGGCCGCCGCCTCGGCCGTCTTCCTGCCCCGAGTGCGACAAAATCTGGCCAGCCTTCCAGCTGACGCCGCTCGGCCAGGGCCCTGCAGCATCGGGGCGGGATAGAAGGAATCCGCAGACCAGACGCTGAAAGTTGGCGCTCGCGGACGCCCCGACGCCCTCCCTCCACGACGCATGCGCCCACGGGCAGTCAGCGCGGGTCCCGTCTCCGGTGACGTGGCGGTGCGGAGGCGGAGCCAAGACCGGCGGCGGGAGGGTGGGGGAGGAAGAGCGAGGTGAGCGCGGACGTCAGAGTGGAGAGCGGAAGGTCAGGGAGGCTCGGAGCGGAAGTGAGACTAGGGAGTCTGTCCGCCATTGTGGACCCGAGAAGCGGAGAGCGAGAGGGGGAAGAGGAGCGTGCAAGCGGAAAAGACGGGCCTCTTCCTCCGACTCCCGAGCGCGAGGCCCTCATTTTGGGTTCTCAGCGAGTGGCGGCAGCGGCGGCGGCTGGAACAATCACTCGGCCAAGGGCGACAGCCAACTGCTGTGAGTGCACGGGGAGAGGCCCAGGCAGCGGCGGCGGCGGCGGCTCTCGGGTTGCGGTGAAGAATGTCAGCCACTAGCGTGGATCAGGTGAGGGAGCAGAGGCCCCAGGCTCGGCGAAGGCCCGAGTCCCGGAGCTCCACCCTCGCGCGGGGCTTCGGCTCCTCCCCGTCGCCGCCGCTGCCGGCCCCATAACGGTGCCCCGGGCGCAAGTTGCTGCGGTGTAGCTGCCTGGGCCGGGGCGTACGTCTTGGCCTCGTAGCCTGCGGGCGGGCGCGGTGCCGCGGTGGGTGGGGGCAAAGACCGGTCTTAGGGGCCTTAGGACACATCCTGAGGGCGGCAGACATGGGGCTGAGACCGGGCGAGCTCTGGGAGAAGGATTCCGAGTGGCGGGTGGGAGGTTTAAAGGCCGGGGGTGGTTGGGAAATTGGTGGCTGTGGAGGATATGGTGGGTTTTTACTCCTACGCGGATAGTCTAAAATAACTTGTCTTTGATAATGCCTTTGATTAACACACTTTCTCTCTTCTTCCTTTTTCTCCTCTTTACCGCATCTTTCGTCTTGCTACACAGAGACCTAAAGGGCAAGGAAATAAAGGTGAGTTTGGATTTTTTTTTTCTTACTGCTCAATGTTGCCTTGATGTTACTTTTAAACTCTGTGAGGATTTTTTGTTTATTTTTGCTCCCTCTTGGGAAAAAATGTAGGATTAGAGAAAATATTCATCATGGCTAAGGTAGCCAAGTTCTATCCAGAACTTCGGTAGTTCGTTGCTTTGAAGCCACTTTATAGAAACCAAAGTAGTACGAGAAACAGTTTCCTTGTCAGTTAAGCAGGAATTGGTTTGAACCTAGTGGTATTTCTTTGGTTTTCCAGTTTATCTGTGTTATGTAACTTCTGCCACAAAAAATTTCTACATATGTATGTAGACAAGTATATTCTTAAAGTGGACATTTTGTTTGACATGTCTGGATTACACTGGAAAATGGAACTCTACATAGTATTCCATCACATTAATGAAAATTGTACTGTTAATCACAGATTCTATTGAAGTCAGTTGCAAGGAGGCAACAACAGGAGAGAGATTAGAATTAAGTAGGCATGCCATCTTGCACTGTTGTCCTGATTGCAAGGTGTGAATCAATCTGGTATTCTATAAAGGGCTGAGAATAAAATAATTTGTGACTTTCTTTCAGGATTTTATAATTTCCTCTTTAGTAAAAGTAGCATTGAAAGAAAAGTGTTTTTTTTTTAAAGTGTGTTTTGTATTAATATGGAACAGTGCAGTCAGCTGACTACATTAGTCATGTGACATTTAGTTAAGTATAGAACAATAACTGCTTTCTTGGGATAGTGCCAATTAAATAACATCAAAGCAAATTATATGTAACGTTTTGTAGTGCTTGAAATTACGCTAAAATTTGCTTTTTGTTGATTTCAGTAACACAACAGTGTTGGAAATTAAGATCTATAGTAGCCTTTTAGATATAGATTGTCTTTGGTGCCTTTTAAATTCTTGTTAGGGTATTTATTTGCTATTGCAAATTTGGTGAATTTAAAATAATAGGTTTTGGAAATGTAGATTAGTTAATTTCCTTTGAAATGTGGAATTTGTACATGCCAATTACATGGCACCATATTAGGTAACATTTATTGGTTTGTTTTTATTAAAGATGTTTTCTTGCAGTATATAAATATTTAGACATTTTAATTTTTAAAATTTCATTTCTAGAATTTTTTGTTATTGTAAGCATAAACCTGAAATAAAATTGGATATTGATTTATTTTAAATGAGTTTTTAAAAATTTGTGAATTTTAAAAAGAATGATCCTTTAATTTCTTTTTTTGCTAGTCTACCCATTAGGAATTATATAGACTTGGAGATTGTGAAATTGTTGTCATTATTGCCTAGCATAAATTATTTTATCCTAGATCTGTGGGGAGGTGGCACTTTGCAAGGCTATTTGAAATGCTAAGTGTTTTGTGTTACCTGCTTTAAGGTAAGTACACAAGTTCTATGAGGTACTTGTTTGTTAAAAGAGTCTCTACAGCATTGTAAGTCAGTAAAATAAATTTGATTTATGAGTGGTCATTTCACTTAGTTAGGCACTGGTGGCATCTTTGATATTAGACATGAGTTATCTATAAACTGCATAATATATCCACTGTTTGCAAATAAGTATTTTTTGGTTATTTCAAAAATTTTTATCCGTCAGTATCACTTCTGTTAGGTGTATTCAGACACATACACAAAGTGTTTATTTTGATAGTTTTTTATTCTCAAGAAATTTTCTTTCTTTCCCCCTTGTTGTTCAGTTTATTAATTTCATATAAGGTTAGAATAATGGATTGGGATTCCTTGGAGTCCTGAGTTCTAATACTGCCTTTGGCTACTGACTTGCCAAGTGAGCTTGAAAACATTCTACTTGTTTGTCAGAATCTCCCCTCTATAAAATAAAAATAATAACTCTAGTCATAATTCCTGTGGTATGTTGTGAGGATTCTTATAATTACAATAGTTCGCTGCTCTAGTAGCAATTACATTTGCTGGATTTCTTTTCACTTTCCTCACTTAATCTATTTTTAAGATGTGGGAAGACTCCTTTGCGTGGAGCCTTGGCAGGAGGGGAAAAATGTTACTGGCCTGAAAGTATTGCTAATCATTTAAGTTCCTTAAAAATGGCAGATGCTACAAGTGCACAAATACACATATACGTTATTTGTATTTTTATGACTCTGCAGGGAGAATTACAAGGCAAAGGCAGCACCACCAGTGAACCTCATATTAGTAGCTATGTGTGTATTTGAGAAAAGCTGTTCTGCCTTAGCTTGTTTCCAGCTAGTAAAATTATTTTACAATTCTGTTTACTTTTATTAAGTTATTTTTCTTTAACTACAAGCTCAGTATTCTAAATATGTGTAATCTTGAATTCAGAACTTAGCAAGCTTATGAAAAATAATATGTCCTTGAAAAGCTGGTGTCAGAGTTTTGAACACATAATCCTTTTCAGTCAACTTACTCTAATTTCAGAGATTCTGTTTTTTTTCTGAATTGTCTTCAGTTGACAGCATTAGCCTAACACCTAGTTTTAGTGTCTTTGATTTTCTGTATATCCTTAATTACTTAATTCATTACAGAAGCCAAAAGGAATTCTAAATAAGTGTCTTTGATATGGCAAAAATGTTTTTGTAGAATAAGTAATAATTCAAGGTTTACTTGTTTTCTAAGTTTGAATTCTTTTTTAATTAATAGACTGTCCCTGTGTTAAATATCAGAACTCTTTATTATCCTTGGCAAGAGTAGTACCAAAGGATAGTAGAAATTTAAGGATAATTATTGCCTATTGGTTCATAATTTAACACTGACTTTGTATTTTTTTTAATATTAACAAGTAGAATTTTTGCTTATTGGAATAAAGGTGTGCAGTGCTTTTATTTGGGAGTACTATGGATGGAAGTGTCAGATGCCATACTTACAGTCTTAGGCCATACTGCCTCCTTTCTCCTCTTCCTAAGTTTATAAATAGCAAATTCATGGAACAGGATTTATCTTTTTCCTCCTCTCCACTCTCTTCCAACAGAGAGGCATATGCATTGTTTTATACAACTATAATTTAAAATAATTAGGTTAAATTTGGCTAAGGTTTAATTTTCAGGAAAGTAGTAGAAAATGTCTTGCATTTTGGCAATATTCAGTTGTATTCTCTCCTCATCCTCCCAAGAAATGATTTCAAAGCACTTTACTGTTATTATTTTAGGCTTCATTTTATCAATCCTCACAACGCCCTTGTAAGGAGATAGAGGGTATATGGTATTGTCGCTGTTTTTGTAGGTGGGGAAACATGATGCACAGATCTGTTGACTTTCCTAACTTGATGTAGTCAGGACCAGAGCAAAGAATCACCTGGCTCCTAAGGCCCATGTTCTATCTTGATTTGACTCTGTTTCATAGAGCAGAGGAAACAGGCGAAGAATCATGTAAGTCATCTGTTCTTTTTTCCCCTGAAGAACTTTTACAGACTATGGAACTAGCTTGGATTTCAATTCTATTTAATGGTTTTCAGACTCCAAGACATTAGTTTGTCGTTAAGTAATATTCAAAAACGAAAGTCTTTACGATCGTTTTCTTAAAGATACACTTCCAAAACTTAAGGGCTAGTTTAATGCAAATAGCTTCTCAGTATATGTGAAGTATTTTTAATTGAACTTTTTTTTTTAAGTAGATTAACTTCTTGTACTATATTTTAAGACTTTGTAGACATTTATGCATCATTTAAAAATGACTGTAGACTGTATTTGTAATAGTATATGGGTTGTTCTCAGGCCTAGCCTTAGAAGAGAAAGAATGGAACAGAAGAAATAAGTAAAAATAGCAGTATAATATACAGATAAATTTTAAGTAAGTACTTTTTTTTTTTTTTTTTTTTTTTTAAATAGAGACAGGATCTCGCTCTGTAGCCCAGGCTGGAGTGCAGTGACATAATCATAGCTCAGTGTAACCTGGAATGCCTGGGCTCAAGTGATCCTCCCTAGACTCCTGAGTAACTGGGACTATAGGCACATGCCACCACACCTGGCTAATTTCTAAACATTTTTCGTGAAGATGGGATCTTGCTAGGTTGCCCAGGCTGGTCTTGAGCTCCTGGCCTGGCAGTTTTTGTATTTGTATGAACTAGATTTTTGAGAACCTAGTGGATATGAGAGATAGTCATAA